GGAAGTGTTCAGGCCAGGTTGGAGCAACCTGGGCTAGTGAAAGGTGTCCCTGTCCATGGCAGGGGATTTGGACTAGATGAGTTTTAAGGTCCCTGTCAACACAAACCCTTCTGTGCTTCTCTGCAGAAATACACCAGAACTTTATCTTTCTGAAGGAACACGGTCTAACAAAGGGAGCAGAAGTTGTGCTCAATCTTCATCACATTTGAAATTACTTTCTAGAGAAACAGAAATGAAAGTACTGGTGACTTCTGTTCATTTTTGTGCCACAAAAGAGCAGGATTTGTCATTGCAGCACTGAGATTTAAAGGCAAGGCTGTCTGATAGAGTTTAGTTGATCCAATATTTCATGGCCACTGGATGGGAACATTTTCTTGCCAATCCATTCTCTGTCTATCCTCAAGGAAGCAGATGGGCAGAATTTCCTCTGGATTGCTTCAGTCCTGTCATGTGAGCACACTTCATGTCCTGCACTCATGTCCCCTCCAAACACACCAGTGTCCATCTTCCTCAGCTCCTACACAACCCTCTGCTGCTGCCTTGCAGTATTAATTTGGAGGGTAAATAGGATTTTGCTAAGTTAAACCTGCTGTTTTGTCAACTGATGCAAGTTTTCTGGAGAGTGGATGCATTTCTCCAGGGACTGGGGTTGCAAATTGCATTGGTAGAATGTAGCCTTATGTATTACTAAAAAAAAGCTTCAGTGAAATGGGAAAGATGTGTGTGGTGCAGCAAATCAAACCTCCAGCTGTGTAAACAGATCAATAAACTGATTTGTGTTTGCTGACCAGAAGAAAAATCTAATTGTAGGTACTCCACATTCAACATTTGTGGTGAAACTAGAGTAATTGGAATAATGAGAAATCCAATGTGCTTTTGTTTGGAGTTTATTCTTCTTTGGGATTCATTAAACTGGATGGGCCTCCCAAGGTTTAGGCTGGTTATGTATCACAGTTCCTAGGCCCTCAGACTTCATAGATTTCTTCAAATTCCAAATCATCATGTTTGCCATATTTTAATAAGACTTAAAAAGATTTAAGTAATACTGTTCCTGGTGTTTAGAGGCTCATTTCACTCACTAGAATCTCATTTATCTGAAGTTTGAATGCATCTGGACAGCAAAATAGTTCCTGGGTTGCCTCAAATTCCAGGTTTCTGCAATTACTTACACCTGGAAGAGAAAATTATGCTCTCCTGCATGTCCTGAAGATGTATTTCCAAGTACTGTTGTGCCAGTTCTCAAATACTTTTCATTCGAGTATCTCTTGCATTTCTTTGGACTTAGGTAAAAAAGAGGATGGAGGTGCTGGCTTGATTGTATTTCTGTGAGGGACCATATTCAAAAAGGTAAAAGGTTTCAGGGTAAGAGGGGAAGAAATACCCAGGAAAAGCCATGAGATTGGAGTTGTGTGGATGTGTTTTCTCCATCTGAGGGGGACAAAAGCTCTTTCAGGGTCGGTATCTTAAGTAATTTCAATTGCCACTAACAGAAATGAAGATGGTAGTGAAGAGTTCTTAAAAAGTTACTGCACAGAGAGCATATTGTCACCTGCATTTAACTTCACTTGGAGTTAAAGTTGGTGAATTTAATAGATGTATCATTAGCTTGGATGTCCCATTAGGATTGTTTGGAAGTGGAAAATGAGTCCTCTGTGAAGGAAACAGAAGGGGGTGAGCTGTGGCTCCTGGGAGGAGGAAAGAAGGAATTGGGGGTTGATGGAGTGTGGACAGGTAATGATGAGTTTGTGATTTTAGCTGAATGAAGAGCTGAAACGGAGTCATTAAAAAACTTTAAAAGGGAGTCATTTAAAAGCTTTTCAAAGCAAGCTTGGAAAAGTGGAGGCAAAACCTGTTGTTGCCTGGGTTTCATTTGGATCTGTCCATGAGTGAAGAGAGAGCCCAGAGGTCTGCAGCTGGAGATGCTGAGTGTGAAGAGAGGGTGATGTGTGTGTTGCCAGTTGACTTCTGGTACCACCTGGGATCAGCTGAGGTTATGCCAATGAAGATTAAATCCTGCCAGTTGATTCCCCTTGCTGTTATTTAACAAATGAAGTACCTTATCCAAAGTCTGTTGGGAATCTGTAGGCTTACAATGTGATTATATTCCCCCATGGCAGGGCAGATTCAGCTTTTTGGTTCTGTTGTTGTCAATACCATGAAGGCTGAGCTCCTCAGTGGTCCATCTGCAACACACACCAGTGTGTTCAGTTACAACTGAACCTTTATTGTGCTTTGCCTGAATAATTTGAAAAGGATTTTTGCTATTTTGTTCACCTTTTTTATAAACAAACACTTTAATGAGTCTGTGATCAAAATTTGTCCCTCTTCTGTTCTAACAAGCACCTGTTTTTTTCTTGCCATTCATTACCAAGGTACATTTCATCACCTAAGAAAAAGTCATTTAAGGCAGGTTGTGACAAATTAATTTTATTTATATATTACATTATATTCTTTATAAAGCAGTAGACAGGGCAAGAGGAAATGGCATCAAGTTTTGCCAGAGGAGGTTTAGATTGAGTATTAGGAAAATGTTCTTCACTGAAGGCGTGGTCAGGCTCTGGAAGAGGCTGTCCAGGGCAGTGGTGGAATTACCATCCCTGGAAGTGTTCAAAAGGCCTGTGGATGTGAGACTTGGGGAAATGGTTTAGTGGTGGACACAGCAGTCCTGGGTTAATGGTTGGGCTTGATAATCTTCAAGGTGTTTTCCAACCTTAATGATTCTATGACAGAAAAGCTTTAATGATTAGAAATATTTTTTTTGTTAATAGATTTAATTATTGAAATGTTGAGTGGAGTGGATTTTGACTTTGTTTCAAGCACTGAAGTGGTATCTGATCTGCAGGAGAAGTCTGTGCTTCCTCCTTGAGCACTGAGTATTTCCATTTCTATTCTGAATATGTTCAGGAACTTTTATAGGTTTTTATTCACGTAGCAGTACTTTCTTTACATCAAGTAGTTAATATCATTTTCAGACTCTTCTCTTGCATAGTTACTGGCAGTGATCATGTATCCCACTTCAGCTGAGTAAGCCAGACTGTTTTAGTCCTTGTAAAATAAGACTGTGGTACCCTGATTCCCCTCACAGCCAGTTTCTCAGCTAAAGCTCAAGTTCACCTTTCCTGGCCATGCACTGACAGGCTGTGGGCTGGGAGCAGTGCTGTAGCTCTTACACCATCCTCCTTTTCATTAAAAAATCCTCCCAGGGATCTGTTCTCTTGCTGGTGCCTTGAGTCTTTTGAAAAGAAAATTGCTTTCTGTAGCAATGAATTAAACCTCCAAAAAATCAGGCCATACCTTTTTTAGACCTTTTGAGCAAGAAAAGGGCATTATTTCTGCTTGTACAGTCAGTGAACCCTGAAATTTAAAATAGCTGTGTGCCTTTCTTCTTCACCCAATGAAGAGAAGAATGAGAGACACAGAATAGCAGACTTTCCGTTTTTTAACTAGACATGGGTGGGTCCACTCAGTTACATGTATGTCACCATTATTATATGGAAGTCTTCCAATTGCAGGAACCTACTCAGGCTTTTTCTTAATCAGCTTGGTATGTGATCTCCATAGACTTGAAAAATTCAGTATTGGTGGTTTCAGGACAGGTGAGACCCCCAGAATACCCAGTGGTTGCAGAAACCTGCTCTTGCCTGGCTCCATTCACCACCTGGAGTTTTCTGCTGGCCATGCTGCCTCCTCCTCTCTACCCTTACAGTAGATTTTGTCACATTTTTCTTCCCAGCCTTGTCCACAGCCCAGCCTTCACCTCATGCTGAAGGAAATGTTCTCACTTTCCACCTTAGTGCAAGTACAGTATTTTGTCAGAAATGAAACAATTCAACATTTGTGGCTGTAGGTGTTTGACTCATAAGTTGTTATGGCCATTCTTGGATGTGTTGGGAAGATATTTATTATAGGACTAATTAATTATTTTGGGCTTCTGTCTTTAAAAAGAGCATATTGTAAAACAAACTCCTTCCTCTTTCTATGGTAAACATTATGGAAAATTTCTTATATCTAACATTTCTATATATATTTAGAACACTTCATGGGGTTGTTTCCAGCTGGGCTGAGCTGCTGTTCCAGGGCTAACCAGTAGCAACATCTAGATTTCCACATAGGACTGAGACCAGGTTCCACAGCAGAAAATTCTGCCTAGTTTTGGTTCCAGGATCAGTGCAGAGGTCGGTGCTTCCTCCCTAGATGTGTGCCTTAAGATGAAGAGTCAGAAGAGCCCTGTGGGTCTGGTGTCAGAATCCATCCTCTGTGAGCAATAGGGCTCCTGTTCCTGCAGGAATGGCTTTGTTGGATAGAAAGCACTTGGACAGGGGAGGGTCTTCAGTGAGATGCAGTTACTGTGCTTCTGGTAATAGCTCTAGCATTTTGGAAGGTGAGAAGATGAGGTAGGAAGGAGCAGGAGCAGGACATAGTTCTGGGAGCTGTGTGTGTCATGGTGCAGCAACTGGAGCAAGCCCAGGCATGTGGGTGGGTGTGTGACTGAGTGTGTGACTGCTGGAGGACATGGAGCTGGACAAGGGGGAAAGGGCCTGGAAGCTGGGGGTGTCCATGTGTATGTGTCTCTAAGGACAAGGACAAAACTCCAGGAGGATCTGGGGACCAGATGAACCAGGGAAGTCCCAGCCACTGCTGGAGAGGTGGTTGGATCTGGGGGTTAACTGAGACCCTGGAGTGTGTACACAAGGGTGTGTAAGTGTCTGCTGGCTTAGGGTCAGCTACCAAGTGCCTGAGCCCAGCTGCTGGAGGGATTTACTCTGCACCTGTGTACCTGCAGATATTTTCCACTAATTCAGCCTCTTCCCCTAATGTGAAGTAGTTGTGTCTCATTCTCCTTGGGCAGATACTGCCAGTTACAGCTTGGAAAATTTGAGGACAAAAAAGAGAAGGGAAGCCAGCAGAGTGCCCCAAAATGCTTTGCAGACATGGGAGGAATTCATTAATCAGCAAAGCTGTGCCAAGACGTTTCATTCCACACCTCTTTTGTGTTTCAGCCCTGGCCCAGTGTGTCCAACCTGGCCAAGGATTTCATCGACCGCCTGCTCACGGTGGACCCCAGTGACAGGATGACGGCCCTTCAGGCCCTGAAGCACCCGTGGGTGGTCAGCATGGCAGCCTCCTCCTCCATGAAGAACCTGCACCGTTCCATCTCACAGAACCTTCTCAAGAGGGCGTCCTCCCGCTGCCAGAGCACCAAGTCAGCTCAGTCCACCCGCTCCAGCCGCTCCACCAAATCCAACAAGTCGCGGCGCGTGCGGGAGCGGGAGCTGCGGGAGCTCAACCTGCGCTACCAGCAGCAGTACACGGGCTGAGCTCCTGCCCTGCCACAGGTCTGCTCTGTGCTGCAGGTGTGCACACACTCAGTGAGGAACAGCCAGGTTCCTCCCTCCCTCCAGGTGATCCCCCCATCCATCCTCACCCCGGGCGGAGGAAACGGAACCTTGTGGCCGTCACACCCTGCGAGCTGTGCCACAAATGGGGGAGTCCCTGTGGGCTCAGAGCCTCAAGAAATGCGCGAATTAAGGAGCCACGTGGGGAGAAGAGCTCTTTCTGTAGCCCAGGAGCTTGGTTGTTCATAGTTATTTATTAATTCCAGAGCGTTTAGTTTCTCTCACTTGCGTATGGAAAAAAGAAGAAATCACTTGGTGTGTCTGTGCATGCACGTCCGTGTGTGCACGTACACGTGTGGGGGTGTATATCTATTTAAAATTATATATACACAGATTTTTGAGCTGGTTTAGTCAGACTCCGTGGTGCCTTTGCAGCAAAGCTGGAATGAGTCATGTGCAGTTAGAAGTGGGATAGCTCTGACTCACTGCTGTGCTGCCCACCAGCTCCTCGCCAAAGAGATGCCAGACAGCAGTTTTCCACGAGGGCTGGGAAGCTGTGAGGTTTTCCCCAAGGGCTGCCATCCTCCTGATGACATCAAGGATCTACTTGCTTGATGACATCAAGGGTTTACCCCTGGAATTGTCCTTTCCCTGTTTGCAGCAAGAACCAGTGCCTGTCAAGCAGGGTTTGTTGTTCTTGTGGCTCTGTTGTGTCTCTGATGTGTTACACCTTGCACCTTTCAGAAGAAGATTGAGAAGGTTGAGGTTTTTTGTGCTAAGGGGAAAAAAGAGAGGGGAAGTTTTGAGGGTGTGCTTCCCACCCCAGAGCTGGGATGGGCTATAACCACTGTAAGCACAGAGTTACTGACCATGTCACTGCACCAGAACTTTGGTGGTTCCAGGCTGCTCCCTGCCTGCACATTTGACAGGGCTCCCCAGCTTTGTGTGCCTGTGCTGCCACAGCACTGCCATCCCTGCTTTGGGACAGTGGTGGTGGGAGCTGTTGGGGTGGCCACAAATGGCTCCCACAGCATCAGGGTAAGGGCCTTAGTAGTGGAAGCCCAGTCTGGGAGCGTCAGCAATGACAATGCCCTGGAGACATTGTACAAAAGCCCTAGAGCTGTGAGGAATGACTTAAGCTCACCAGGAAAAAGCTGCATTTCAGGTGTCCTTGTGCTGTGTAGGTCTTACGAACGACTCAGGGGGCATGGGGGCTGCAGAGCTGAGTTTTGTGCAAGCCTGCTGAGATATCTTCCCAACTAGTTAGAGCAGCAAAGTGGGGCTGATGGCACAGGGGCAGGATGGATTTGGCTTGTCATGGTAGCAGAGACAAGATCAGCAGTGAAGGAAGATGCTGGGGTTTGAAACTTCTTTTACAAAGCCACACGATTTGCTTTGTGCTGTGCACTTGGGGAGGGCTTGCTGGGCTCTGGGCTGGAGGTGCAGGCAGTCCAAGCTCCAGGGGCTGGTGAGCTTGGCCTTTTCCTAGGATTGATGCTTCAGTTCAGCAGGGCTGAAGTGGTCAGTCACATCTCCAGGGAGCTCTCACTGTCACTCCTAGTCAGCAAACAGCAAAGCAGCTTTAGTGAGAAAAGATTTGAGTTTTCTGTGCTAAAGCAAAGAAAAGGGGGATTTCTGGGGGTGTGCTTCACACCCCAAAGGTGAGATGGGCTGTAAATACATGTAACCAGCCTAGTGTGCCCAAGCATGTGGTGGGGAATACAGCAGAAGAAACTTTGTGTGGTTTTGCATGTTATTTTGAAAATTCCACATCCTTTGCAGGCTGCCCTTTCTCTGAGCAACCCATCCTACCATGTCACATGCAGTCTTTCTTCCATCAGCATTAACAGATACTGCAGAATTCCCTACTTTTTTTTTTCAACTCTGGACTGCAAACAAAAATGTTTTTGGCATCTTTTACCTCCTCACGTTGTTTTTCCCTAGTTTGTTACCATGAGCTATAAACTAGATGTGGTTTCTTACAAAGCAGGCAGCTTTCCACATTTTGTTTCATGAACAGTTCAGTGTCCCTCATGGTACTGCAAACAGCTCTCCGGAGACAGGAGCCCCTCTAAGGCCAGTATCCAGTGGGCTGTGGGGGCCCTGCAGGTCAGGTGGTGGCAGTCCCTCGGAGCACTTCTGGTTCTGAGCCATTACTTGAAGATGCTTTGGTGTGTTGGGAGCATCACTGCAGGCACTGTGACTGCTTTTACCTCCTGGCTGCTCCCATGGCCCTCCCCACGTTATCCTGCATATCTATCCATAAAACAGGGATTTTGCCTGTGTGAAAGGGTCAGACTGATGAACTGAGCCAAGACCTCTAGAACTGAGACCCTTCCCCTTAACCACTAAACCGTCAAAATGCACAGGCATCATGCAGATGTCTGCCCATGCTGTTCCTTTATCCTTCTCTTATGGGATTAGGAATACATAAACCTCTGGGCTAACCAGGCTTGTTTCTCTACCTTCCAAAGCAGAAAAAGAATCTTCTCATCTGTGACAATTTTTGCTTCATTGATCTTTTCCGCAACTGTTTTTTTCACCAGGAAAAGTTCAGGTCCTCAGGCACTCCATTGCTTGGGAACTGTGGGAGGAAGACCAAGGCTATTCCATAAAGAGCTTTGGCTTTTCCAAAAAAAGAACTCTAATTCTTTCACAAATGCAATGTTTTCTTGTTTGCATGGAAAAATCAATGTAAACTTGGGAAAATCTCTATCGACTTTCCTTCCATCATTCAGTTTAACACTCTTGGCTCACTCCCTCTTTTTTTTTTTCTAAATCCAGTATTTGTAGGAATTTTGCAGCCAAACAATAACAATGAGGGGAGATGAGCAGAGCTGTTCAAGTCACCCTGGAGTCCTCAGTGATCTTTCACTCAGTCTGGAAAACTGTGATGGTCCAAATGCCATGTTGGAAGGTTCAGCTTAAGAAAATTCCTCAGGTGCTTTTATTCTTGCAAGTGAGACATGTTTTCAGTTGGGTCTGGTGCAGAGGAGGACAGGCAAAGTGCTGTAATTCTGAGCCATGGTCCAGATGCCTTCAATCTGTCCTCTAGGAAGCTCTTCACTGTGAATTACCTTGATCATCTGTCTTCATTCCACAGGAGCACCTCAGTGCTCAGTTGGTCTTAAGTCTCAGGAGTTTACACTTTTCAGGAGTGCCTTTTTTGGGGGATTTTAGAAACTAAAATCTCTCTGAAAAGGTGTTGTCTGCTCTTTCATGTAGTTTTTTAATGTCCTTCTTTGACTCTTAATGGTGGTTCTTCTTTGGCTCGCAGAGTGTTTTTTGGAAACCTTCTTCTGGTCCTGAATGTGCAGGGAGGACAGAGGTGACACCTGCCTGTTCCAGACTCACCGAATGCAGTCCCTGCGTTAGCTGGGGTGCAGATCTGAGTGCTTCTGTTCTGCCTGCTGTGGTTCGCGCAGGGGAAGTGGAGTCGGAATGACACCTAGTGGCAAATCGTGGTGTGTCCTTGTCCAAGCACAGCCCTCTCCTCCGTTTCTGGGTGAGATGCTCTTTGAGGGTGGTTTGTCTTTTGGAACTTAGCAGTACTGTGTAATACAATCCCATCCTTTTGTCCTGGGAGTTCGGCTCTCTTGGGAGAGAGAATTACAGCTTCAAAGAATGTGGCCTGTTGGTTCCTTGATTTTTATTATTTTTCTTGAGGGCTTTTAGAAAAGAATGTGAAAAAGTCTTCCAGAAATTGCATTAGAGGGTCTAAAGCTTTACATCCAGGTTTTGAGTGTAGTGTATTTTCCTAAAACAGCACTTACCAGTCCATGTTCAATTTACTTCTCACTCAGGCTTCTAAAAATCTTAACACATCAACCCAGTGGGGATAGAAACCTCCCTTCCTTCAATCCTGAATAAGTTTGTGCTATTTAACACTGCAGTTGTGATAGCATCCAGATGCTCCTGCTCTGTGTTGTTCTTGGAAGCACACAGCTGTACGTGAGGGAAAGCTTGAGAGCCTTGTGAGGAGCTTGGGCTCAGACTTGCTGGCTTTGCTAGTGATGTGGAAACCAGCTGCAGTGTAGGAATCTGAGTACTTTCCTCTTTTAGGCCAGATATTCTCTGTTCTGGTAATTTACACTATTTCTGAGGCCCTGCTCCATCTCTCGGTCCTGTTTTCTACCGGATGTTTGGCTGCAGTACTGAGAGTCAACTTTTATCTGATGCACAAACTGGAATAGGAATGATGGTTCACTTGGCTGCTGGGCAGCAGCTCTGGCTTTGGCTCTGCAGGAGCTGTGGTGAGTTCTGGGGCAAGGTAAAAGCTTCTGTATGGTGCCTTTGAGGACCTGCAGTGCAGGCTCAGCTCAGTCTTGTACCACATAGGGCAGCTGCTGCGTGGCTGTTACAGGCTTCTAATTAGGCTGTGTGGGGCCATATTGTTTTAAGTAATGATACTGAAGATTTGGGGGGGTTGAAGTGGGATAAATTAAAATCTCAGTTGTTTGACTAAATTTAGTTTTCTAAATGATGCGAAGCACACAGATACTGGCTTCTTTGGCACCAGTGTGAGCCCTAGAATTTGCAGGAAGGGTGGTCGTGTCCAGACCTCTCACCCACTCAGCTTTCTCCTGGAAAGTGTCACGAAGTGCCTGTACCACTCAGTGCCTGTACCCAGCCCCAAGTTGTCTTCACCACTCTTGGGAGGGTTTTGGTGCTTTTCTTGACCACTCAGTGTCCTCTTTCACGCTGGATTAAGCGTGCAGCACTCCAAGGCAAGTGCCTGCATGTCAGGTGTGCCTTACTGTGCAGAAAACTTCCCAAAGAAATAAATGTGAACACCAGGCGTGTGCGGTGGCAAGCGGCATCACAGAGCTCAGTGCCTCGGTGTGCTGAGGGCAGCAGGAGCTCTGCCTGGTGACAATTGTCCCTTCTCCCACTGTCCCCCCTGCCTGATGACGCTGTAAATCCCTCATGTGTGACGGGCGAGCTGTGGCTGCTGTTGCAGAGGTCATTGCCCTGTTTGTCTGCTGAAGGTGGAATGGCTGCGTGGAGCAGATCCACGGCCCCAGCGAGGTGTGTCACAAACCAGCAGCTCCTGCGTGGACGCCCAGATGCCGTGAGCTTTCCTGTTGCCTTTCACTGCGGAAAGAACCTCCCGGGAAGCCCTTGGGATCGGGGATCTTCCGGCACTCGATGTTATTTTTGGTTGCCCAGTTTCCGGTGCTGGGTTGGAACGGTTTGGAAGCGACTCCGGTCTCATCGGTCATTCTCCTCATGGGACTGTGTTGAGAAGTGTCCCATTCTGTGCCTTGCCTTTTGACTCCTGGCTTTACTCTAAGGACTGTCCTGTCAGATGAGGTAGGACCCATTGTAATTAGTCTGTAATGTTCAAGTTAGAGTGTACAGAATTATTTATTTGGTGTACTCGGTCTTCTAAAACATGTCCATGTATTCTGTGTACCCCATGGCTCTGCTGTCCTTACTTCTGCCTGTGGATCACCTGTGGGCTGGCTGCTGGAAGGCAACGCCTTCCAGGCTGGGAATGATGGTCAGTAAGTATGTGGAGAGCCAGAATGTGCTCACCCCTCTCTTAGGTTCTTAAATCATAGCAAGAGGTACTAAAGTGCCCATCAAAGGGTTTGCTGGTTTCTTTAACACAGCTGCCAGGCCAGGAGCTGCCCAAGGGAGACCTTGTGTGGGGCTGGGATGTCCATGGGTTGCCCTGGATGAGGCAGGCACTCAGCCTGTTGCTGGAAGGTGCAGTTGGGAGGCTGAAGAGGCACTTTAGGACATTCTATTTATTTTTCTTTAGCTGTGAGGTGGTAGACTGGGCCAGAGGAATGCTCTGGTTTGTCTACAGCTGCTCATCACCTCTCCCAATTTCACTCAGAGGAGCTTTTATGGACCAACAGGAGAACTTGTAGTATCAAGTGAGTAATGCACACCTCTTTTGAGCCACCTCCTCTCCAGAATTTTCCAGGGGCAGAGGATCCCATCCCAGTGGTGGCAGAGCTGACAGAGAGCTCAGCACACAGACCAGATGATCCATAGTGCTGCAGTTGGTCACTGCTGTTTGAAGTTCCCTATAGCCACCAGTTCTCTCTGCCTGAATGGTCCAGCCCCACATCTCTGTTGTTCACTTGCCTTTAAGGTCAGTTAGATGCTCCCTGCAAAGCAGACCACTAAATAAAACTAACTCTTACCCAACCTAGGCTTTACTTGAGACAATTGTTATTTATTTTAATTCAATCATATGGGCCAGACTATTTATGTTTGCCCTCCACTGATGTTTCATACCTCTTCCCATCAGTGTGTCTCTGTGTAGTGTCACACTCTGCTTAATAGAGTGATTACAATTTGAGGGCTGTGATTCACACAGCAAAGGTGTTGTATTACCTTCACATCACTGGTAAGGAAAACTAAACCCCACACTTAATTTTGGGACAGTCTGATCCTGCTTCTCTCCACAGTGCCTTATCACCAGCTCTATTTTGAGCTGCTGGGAACCAGATTGTAATTCATTGAGCATGTATCTTGCTACTCCCATGTCACACAAGACTTTTTTTTTCCACCAGCCATTGTCTCAAGAACCCATTTGAGTAAAAACCTGTCACCTGGCCTTGAAATTTGTTTTCAGCCTTAAATTTTCTTTTGCAATGGCCTTCAGTTTCCCACTGTTAGCTGGCAGATCTGCAGGTGTGAAGCAGCGTGCTGTTCTCCAACCATCCCCTTCCACCTTCCCCAAGAGCTGGAGCTGCCCATGGTACTTCTCCCTTTCAGCTCTGTTTTCCCAGCTGCTACTCAAGTCATGGCTTTAAACTTCAGGCAGGGGTCCTTTAGGATCCTCTGCACCCACCCACACCCTCCTTCCTGCAAGCTGAGCAGGTGCTGAACTGCAGCTCCACAATCCCTTCTCTGGTGGCACCTCACACCTGGGCCAGCAGGAGGACCATTCTCCCAACCTTCAGCACTGCCTGGGTTGGTGCCAAGGTATGCTTGAAGACCCCCTGAGCAGCCTTTGAGCTACAGCCAGCCCTGCTCCCCCTCTGCCTGAGTATCCTGTCCGAGTTTGGCAGTTCCCTCTGGGTCCCAGGTGGGCACCAAGCTCCAGCTCTGGGAAGTGCTGGGGTTTAGGAGAGAAGCATGGGGTTCCCCAGGCTCCTCCATGTGTCTTCCACCCCACTCTGCATCATAAGAAAGGAGCCAGAGGCAGTGCTTGGCACAAGCAAATGCTAGTACTTTATTAATCCCAGTGAAGGGATCACACTGTCCACAGATTTATCCCTGAGCAACGACGGCATCGATCCAGTTACGGAACTGGCTGACACGAGTGTACATGGCCGGAGTGTTGATGTTGCAGTTGGAGGATCCCCAGGACACAATGCCAATAAGAGTCCAGCCATTCCCAGTCTGGTACACCAGAGGTCCACCAGAGTCACCCTGCAGAGAAGATTCCTGCTCAGTGCTCCAAACTGGTCCCTGCCACCCCAGCCACCCGATCCCCTGCTCACAGCCGGGTGCTGTAGCTTAAATATCTGACTCCGTAAGTGCAAGACCTCATGTACCCTGCCCCTCCACCCTTCCTGTGATGCAATGGGAACTCAGCAAGAACCCACATATCCTCCTTCTCCTCCACCCATGCTGTGCAGCAGCAGCTTGGCTCCTTACCTGGCAGGAGGTGGCACCATTCCCACCAGCACAGATCATGGCACTGGTGATGGAATTGCCCCAGTACTGCCTGCACTGGCTCTGGGAGATCAGGGGCACGGTCACCTGCTGCAGGACTGTTGCCAAGGCTTGGGCTAGGGGAAAGAAGCACCATTAGGTCACCTCATTGTGGGTCTCCTGGAGAGCACACAGATGCTTTGGGCAAGCTTCCACTGGTGCATGGGTGCTGCCATACAAAGGGCGTTCCTTCTCTGTCCCAACAAACCCTTTCTTCCCGGATCACCTGGTGCAGGCAGCCCTGAGAAAGGGCAGGCTTGTGCCTGTGCACAAGTAATCGCTGGGTTACACACACACCTGCACACATCTGCTCACTGGTACACGCTCAGACAGGGTTACTCCACTGCCCAGCTCCCCCCTTCCCACACGTTCAGGAGATGTCACCCCAACAGGCACCCCTGGACCCTCAGAGCCCTGAGGAAGAACAGCAGCTACACACAGCCCTCCCTGAAGCTGCAGCCTACGTACTGTTGGGGTTGGTGCGTCCCCAGCCGGTGGTGACAGCCCAGGCATTGCTGGGCAGAACCAGGTTGGCAGGGGCCAGACAGATGGTGGACACCCGGGATCCCAGCTGGGCAGGAGTGGACAGCCTCAGCAGGGTGATGTCGTTGTTCATGGTGTTGGGGTTCCAGCCGGGGTTGGTGATGGCCTGCAGAGAGGGATACACCACAGCAGTTCCTGCCTGCCCTGGGGGAGCAGCTCCAGCACGGAGCTGCAGCCCCGTCCCAGAACCGCGCCCGCCTGGCTCACCCTGGACACGGTCTTCACTTGAACGGCCTCAGCATTGGAAGCAAGGCTGTATTCCCCGAGGACAACAACGTGGGAGAGCGGGCTGTGAGAGGTAAGAGGGAGTCAGAGGCAGTGTCCAGCCAGCACCCCGGGTGGGAGCAGCGCTGGGGGCAGCCACCCAACAACAGGGGACAACTGGGGAGGAAGCCCTGGGCTGCTCGGGCCTTTGGGGCTGACCCGAGTGCCACTCAGAGATGCCCAGCACGCTCCGAGCCCCTGGCCCTGCCAGTGGCACCGGCGTGGCTGGCCAGGCATCGCTCCTTACTTGAAGTTGCAGTGGGCAGCTGTGACGACCCAGTACTGGTTGATCAAGGAGCCACCGCAGAAGTGGGATCCTGTGCGGGTCTGGGGAGGGAAGAGGAAAGAGGAGCTGGGGCTGGGCGAGCTGAACACCCCCAAGCTGGGGACAGGCAGAGTCCCCTTGGTGCCCAACTGTGGCACCCAGCTGGCCATGACAGTACTCAGGGAATGGGACAGTGCTGTACCTGCAGGGACACCTGCCAGGGCCATGAGCCAGGCACAGCGTTCTGCCCGTTGACAATCCTCTCGTTGTAGGTCACTGAGGGACTGACGGCAGGCACCCCACAGCCTGCAGGAGAGGCACAGGGGCACAAGGATCACCCAAAAGCTCTGGACTCATATCTGAGGGCTACCTGTGCTGGTGTGGGTGGCTCTGTGTCACCCTCTCTGGCATCCTGCTGCACCCCGAGGACCTTCCCATACCCATGGGCAGCACTTACCTGAGACAGCGCTGGCGAGGGCCAGACAGGCAACTACCCACAGGAACGCCATCCTGAAAGGAGATAGGCTGAACCCCTGAGGACCACGAGCTTTATAGCAGCCAGGGAGCCACGTGGCTGGTCAGGTTAAGGGTCCCTGTGGCCTTGTGTCAGCTGGGGGCAGCAGTGACGGGTACATACCGTACCACACGTAAATAAGGACGTGGGAAGGTACTGTCAAAAGACACCTGGGGGGCTTGGGCTTTTGCTGTCATGAGTTGTGTTAGTTCTGACTGCAGCCTGTGGAGCTGGAGCAGGAGAGCACCACAGGGCTGTGATGGAGGGCACAGGGGACTGGTTGTGGGCACACAGCTGGGGTAACAGTGAGGCTAGACATGCTGGGATGAGCACCAGTGCCTGGGGTGGGAGTCATCCCATGCTTAGACTTGTTTCATATCCGCTGGGACTAGAGGTGTTTTTCCACATGGCCATGAACTCCTGGCCTGGGCCAAAGCTGGTCCCAGCTGGATGTTCCCAGGGCTCAGGGCCATTCATGTCCATAGTGCAGATAAACAAGTCCCAGAGCCAGCAGGGGCAGGTGGGGAGGGCAGACACCTTCCCAGGCAGGTGGGAGCTGTGGCCAGTTGGGCAAGCTCACCATGAGCCCCAGGGAGGACAGTGGGCACCTCCCCAAACTGAGGTTGAACCCTTCACTGAGCATCTCCCTAGCACTGCAGCCACTTGACCCAGGGCTGGGGAGCACTTGGTCCCCTCTGTCCTGGATAACAGGGTGTGTAGTGTCTGCATCATCCCCTGTGTCCTGGGTGATCTCCTGGGCTGGCACAGGGTGCAGACAACCAGGTCTGGGGTGATGCTGAGCATGGGATGGAACCCTCCCTCTCTGTGCCACCCACAGACCCTCCAGGGAGCAGAGCCTGGACACTAGAAAGCAAGTTCAGAGCTTAGGCCTTTATTTCCAGCAGTGGTACCATGCAAGGACAGTGGGATGTGACCCATCCTAGGGTGGGAAGCATGGCAGAGCATGGAGGTCGCCCAGGGCACTGCAGGGGCTGGGCACAAGAGTGTAGGCAGAGACACAGACTGCTCCTGATCTTCATATGGCATCTGGGAGGACATGCCAAGGGCTGGGCAGCAGCAGAGGATGGAGGGAGAGCCAGAGCTCAGGGTGGTGCTGCCCATCACAGAGGAACCTTGGAGCAGGACAAC